GAAATCGACGGTCAAACTACATCCTATAAATACTGCAGCCCCTAATGCATGAACCACCCGTATCTGCTTTTGTCTCTGATGATGGGTTCGAGCAGGAGTCCGAAACGTCAGGCTAATAAGGCTCTTTTCCCAGCGATCGTGTATCCTTCTTCATGACTGCTTCCTGGGACTCGTCTCTTCGCTTCTATTGGCAATGATTGGACAGTCATGACTAAGGCAAGAAAGCGTAGACGCGGCTCAGCATGCAGAAACGCAAGTATCCTCACTAGCAGAGTGCTGGAGTATCTAGAGGAAAGCACACTGGGAAGGCTGAGGCTGCCACTGATCAGCCGGACCCCTATCAGCTGCGTTTTGCGCGACAGAATATCGGCGAAACACGCGTCTGGACTTTTGGCTAGTATGTGTGATGTCAGTGTGGTGAAACATGCAACAACAGTGCCAGCCGTTTTGGTTGCCAGTCGTGCCTCGAAGAGTGCGCAGCTGCGACCAATCGATGAAGACGGAAATATCGATCAGCGTGTCAAGAGGAGGTGAGGCGAAAACAGACCCCGCCTGTGGTTGAGGCCACTGCTGCGTCTCCTCAATATCATATCTAAAGCGAGACGTCGGTCGACTTATTTCGCATGCTACTTGAGAACCGAACATCACAGTTACATTCTTTGCAGTCGTTTTCTTCAATTTCTTACGGAAAAAATGATTTGATACGGCTTTCTTACGGGGATGCTTTGAGCAACACTTCTAACTTTACCAAATTCTGGAACACCAGCGTCGTTTTTTGCCGCCCACCATACCTTCTCTGCGTTGGCGTTGTCCATCGACATGCCGCATGATGCATGACGCATGCACTGATGCTACCACGGCGAATGCAAACAGCCTGCCACACCGGTAGGCCAGAATCCGAGTGAGTGGCGAGGAGGCTGACTTGATTGATGGCACTTGATGGACTTGTCATGGATGTGCCGTCTCGGTTATACGACAGACCAAGTCCACCAACACGCGATGGAAAACCACACTGGTGCTGAAGATGGTCTTGATTCATGTGCCACGGCGCCCGACGATGTTGCGGTATCGGTGAGCTGGTATACGGATACCTAGATAGGCGCCAGGACAGCCAACTTGCGCGAAAAAATAGCTGTGGTGTTAACAAGAAGAAACATACTGGTGACAGCTGTTAAGCCGGAATGGATGGCGAGACCCCTGACACGGTGAACAGATCCTGCCGCTTTAAACGGACATTTCCGTCACTCGAGCATGCTGAGGAGAAAATTAAGCGCGTAGACTTCGTTGGACACCATCAGTGCGAGTTTCGCCAGAGGGTCCAATTTGAGTCCACGAGGCCTCTGTCAAGACGACCCTCCAACCCTACAGATGTCGACATGTTCCTAAGATCAGACGATATCAGTCAGCTGGAAGTGTTTGGTCAGTTATGCTTGTTCTCCGACACTCTAAAGGCCTCCCTAGAGGGTCCGTTAGTCAACCCGTCCACGTGGAAAGACATCGCCCGGGACTGACCGACCTGGAAGAGGACAGTGAAAGGCGGAACGATCTACGAGGCAAACCGCATCACCACCGCGAAAGCCAAACGAGGAGCCCGAAAATCTCAGCTGCATCCACCTCGCAACGCCAGCGCCGAGTCGCCCACAACGTGTCCACGGGCGCCAATTGGACACCTTCAGACTAACTGCAGCACTCGGACTTTACCAACCATCGTACCTCCGTCCACCTCTTCCTCGCCCTCTCGAACCGACACTTTTATCCTCCT